CGACTTCTTGCGCGACGCGGAGCATCCTCTCCCTCTTCTCCCTCCCCGCCGCCGCCGCCGCTGCCGCTGCCGCCCTCGTCGCTCCGCCTCGGTCCCGACCGCTGCCTTGGCCCTGACCTCTTGCTTGCGCCGACGCCGTGGTGTCGTCTGCGCCACCGCCGCCGCGCCTCTTGGCCTCGGTCGTGTCCCGTTCGTCCTGCAGGCGCTGCATCTGCCGCCTCCTCTCGTCTCCGTCCTTTGCGAAGCGGTAAAAGGCCGCACCGCGCTGCCGCACCTCCCAGTCGGCGTCAAAGTGGCGCTCCTGGTGCGCCGTCGCCTCGAGCTTGGACCGCCGTGCGGCCATGACGGGCGAAGGGGGTCGGTAGACTGGGAACGACGTCGAGGGCCCGTAGATGGCCGTCGTGTCCTCGTCGTCGCCGCCGCCGCCGTGTGCCCCCGGCCCCAGCGCATCTTCCTCGAGCCGTCCGCCGAGCGAGACGGGGAGGAACTCGCGTGGGATGTCGCGCTTCCTCGCCCGCCTGGTCCGGCCCAGGTCGTCGACGTACTCGATCTCCTCGTCGCCCTCTGCGTCGTCGTAGTCGTTCTCTTGATCCCGACTGCTACTCGACGATGCAGAGGGCGAGCGACGGCCCCCATCTTCCTCCTCGTCCACGGCGGCTGCGGCGGCGATCTTGGCGTCCCAATCCACCACGCTCTCCTTCAGCTCCTCGTCGTCGATCCCGGCATGCAGGCCGCGCGACAGCCGGTCGTAGATCCTCGCCTTTCGCTCGAGGTTGGTGCGGATCTCGTCGAGCTGCGCCGAGGGCGTGTGGGACCACGCCGACGTCGCCCGCGTCTTTGCGCCTCCCTCGCCGCCATTCCCCCTTTTGCGGGTCCTTGTAGAGGTCGGTGCGGTATCGAGGAAGGTAGACGAGAGCCTGGACGTCGATGCCGTCTTGCGTTTTCCCAGCAGCGACGACGACGGCGATGAGGACGACGAGGGGCGATCGTGTTTGAGCGATTCGAGGTCGGCCTTGAGCGAGAGGAAGCTAGAGTGGCCCACTCTGCTGCTGCTGCTGCCGCTCGGTCGCGACATTGTGAGCGAGACGAGGAATGGGTGTGACGACAGTGGTGGCGGTGGTGGTGGTGGGGAGTGAGGTATCCAGCCTTAGCCGACGCCAAGGAGCAGCAGCACCCTCACCCTCTGCCTCCAGCGAAAAAGGTGGAGGAAGGCGGGCGTAGCAGCCGCGGGCTCCACTCCCGTCTTGCGCGCCATCGCCGCTGCTTTCTCGCACCCACGCGCCCGCCAAAAGCCAAGGCAGCGAGGGCCCAACCTCTCGAGCTCAGCGGGTCGCTCAATCTGCCAAGCCCCAACGAGTTCTGGCTGCCCAGCGCCAGCGGGCCAACCTTCGACCAGGGACGACCATTCTCACACGCACGCCTCAACAGCTGCCGGGTCACTGGACCGCCATCGAGCCTGCTCCGATGGCACCAGAACGGCTCGCATTGCTCAACGAACCCTACTCCCTCTCTCGCCCCGAACGTCGATCAGAAGCTCAGCGAGGAATCATTGAGCGCCACGCACACGGCCGCGCGGTGGTGCCCGTTGTACTGCCGCACCGTCTCGCCCGACGCCAGCTCCCACAGCCTCGCAACGTGGTCCGAAGAGGCTGCTCATCGATGACAGACGACACATGCGCGCACGGTCAAGGTTCAGGTCAAGGTCAGTCGGATCCACGTGCGTCGGATCAACGACAGAGAGGCCCCGACTGGCCGCCGTACTCACCCGTCACGAGGTACGCGCTGTCAGCACTGAACGCCGCGTCCCACACCCACCGCTGGTGGCCCACCAGCGTCTTTTCCAGCGCAAACGAGTAGTTGGACGTGTCCCAGATCTTGACCGTCGCATCCGCCGAGCATGTGGCAAGGTGTCTGTCGAGTCAAGGGCCGGCGATGGAAGGTCAGAAGGGGAAGAGCAGGGGCAGAGAAGCGTCAGAAGGCGTGTCGCCGGCACGGACACACTGCGGCAACCTGCCCGTCCTCGAGCTTTCTGTTCAGTGCCGCCGCCGCCGCCGACTCACTTGACATCTGGGCTGAGCAGGCATCGAGTCAGGTACTTTTCGTGCGCCGAGAACTTGGTTACCGGTTGGAGGTCGGTAAAGTCGCCCTGGCCCGGCGGCAGCGGCTGGCCATCGACGTCGTAGGCGCCGTTCTGGATGCGCCAGACGTAGACGTTGCCCTGCGAGGTGCACGGCAGCACGTGGAGGAGAGCAACAAGGGCCGAAGGTCAGCTTCGGCGTGATCCACCAGCGCCCGACCGCTATCTAGACCCGTGGCTGGGACGCACCTTGTTGTTACCCGCCACGAGGCAGCTGCCGTCCGACGCCACGGTGACGGAGCGTATCGGCACCTCTTCCTCGGGCACCAGCTCGTGACTGCAGCCGTTCTCGCCGAGGTCCCACACCTTTACGCTGCCCGCCTGGTCGCACGATACCAGCTCGCCCTGGTTCGGGTGGACGACGACGTCGTTGACGGGGGCCCGGTGGTCATAGACGCGCTGGGCGCGTGATGTTCTGTGCGGGGTAAGGGGAGGAGTGGCCCGAGTCGAGAGGGACAAGAAAGCAGGATGCTGCTCAGATTACGACGGCCTCTGTTGGCGCTGTGGACTGGTGGCCCGCTCACCTCGTGTCCCAGATCTTGAGGGTGCCGTCCTCGCTGCCCGATACGAGCCACTTTGCGTCGCAGTGCCAGGCGATGCTGGTGACGTTGCCGACGTGGCCGTCGTAGGTGACGACGGGGTTGGTGTTGCCGTGCTGGGCCTGCTGCCCTGCGGCGGCGCCGGCAGCCCCGCCTGCGACGTTGAGGTTGGGGGGCGGGCTGACGCTGCAGTCGTAGAGGCGGATGTGGGTGTTTGCGGCGGCGGCGAGGTAGCGCTTGTCTGGGCTGATGGCGAGGCGGTTGACCTGGCTGTCTGGATGCTGGATGGTGCGCGAGCAGATGCCGGACCATGCCTCCCAGAAGCGGATGGTGTGGTCGTATCCCGCCGTCACGAGGATGACCGAGAGGGCGTCCTGCTGCACCGCGGCCGCTGCCGCCGCCTGCTGCTGCTGCTGCTGCTGTTGCACCTGGGCATGGCTGGTGGGAGGGGCGGGGTTCTGCGAGGGGATCCTCGCGGGAGCGCGGGTGGCCATGGCGTTGTCGCTGTGGCCGTGGCCGTGTCCGTGGCCGTGGCCGTCTCTGGTGCCTGGGTCCGGGGAAGGTTACGAAGAGGCGTTGGCAGCGTCGGTCGAGGCAGCGGTAGAAGCGCACAACAGCAGCAACGACGGACGGGCGGTGGAGCTGTTCTGTTTGCTGCGTGCCAGGGCAAAGGCGGATCTTGGTGGCCTGTCGAGCCGTCCAGAGGCAGGCGCTCTGTTGGGATGCCCGAGGACAGGCAGGAGAGCGACCTCAGCCTACGCGACGGGGCGGGTCGCCGCAGCACCAGGGGTGGTGGCAGCAGGTCGGAATCGACGAGCTCGAGAGCGTCCTTGTGCGCCAGCGTCGAGGAGGCCGGTCCGAGAGCAGCGATGGAAGCAAGGGGTGGCGGCGGCAGTTTGCTGGCGGTGATGGTGGCAGCGGTGGTGGTGAGCCGGCTTCCATGTGGAGCAGCAGCAGCAGCAGCAGCAGCAGCCACCGCCGCCTCGGCCGCGCAGACAGCCTCGCCACGCCAAAAGCGGGGGTCGAGCGCAAGCGAGCAGCTCGGTCATTCCCTGACGCATGCTGCTAGGTTATTATTGCAACCTAGGTCGCCCTCAACAACTCCTTCCCGGCTAGCTCAGTCGGTAGAGCGTCAGACTCTTATCCAGAGCCTCTGTGATCGATCGCAGACACCAATCTGAATGTCGTGGGTTCGAGCCCCACGTTGGGAGATCTTTTTAGTCTGTGTCGACTGTCAGGGGGGCACGGCTGACCTCCGTCCCAGGTCGCCCCATCGGACTCTGAGGGGCAGCATCGAGTGCCTCTGTCGATGGTTTGCCTGCTTGTGCGAGGTGACCTCGAGAGCCGGCGCGCACGATGCCGCTGGTTGCCATGCCGCCAAGCACCCACCAGCACCTTTGCTACCGAGATGTATACTCTGTGCTTCCTTCAGGAAATGCAGAGGAGTCGCTCAGATAGCGGACAGGTTGTGTGGGTGTTGCACCGGCAGGGAAGAAATCGCCGCCTGGTCGCTGCGAGACTACAACCACTGGGCTTGCCAGGCGGGTGGGCCGAGCAAAGACCCGACGCGCCGCGCATCTGCTTGGGCCTGTGGATGCCCTTTAGCCTGGCGTAAAGAGGAAAAGGCCGCGTCGCTCGCCAAAGACAAGCTCCGCCGAGCAGCCGCCAGGCGAGCGGGGGCCTGCCTGACTCTAGATCCAACTGCGTAGATCCAACTTCCACCTCGACCTCTCCTCTCTTGTCGCCCTCGTTGCTAGAGTAGTGTCCAAGAGAGCGCCACCTTCTACTACCTACTAGTGACACTAACTGCGCCCCCTTTCGAGCATCGCATCGCATCGCATCGCATTGGGCCAAGAGAGGGCGAGGCAGAGGCGGACCGACAAGAAGCGACGAGACGAGGCGAGGGGTGAGAGCGATGTCAGGGAGCGGTCGCGGTCACGGGTGTTTGGCGAGGAAAGATGGCGTGGGAGAGTCGGCCTCGACGGCCTCATGCCTGCCTGTCCGGCTCGCCCGCCCTATGGGTCTGCTTTCTCCGCGCGCTGCCCGCTGCTGCTGCTGAAGCCGCTGCATCCAGACAGAGAAGATAGAGGCTAGGGTGCTGCGAGAAGCGGCGCACTGTGCCTGCTTGGCGAGGTGCCCTCTCTCGGTGATGGCCATGGCCATGCAATGGTCGGCGACTTGACTCGACGGGGCTAGCATGATGCTGGTGCTCTGGCTGGTGCTCTGGCTGGTGCTCTGGCTGGTGCTGCCGCTCCCGCTATCGCTCCCGACCGCCCTCGCGACGACCGGTGGGCGACGGGACAAACCTAACCCAGCCTACCCCCGTTGCGTGCACGCACGTCGTGCAATCTACGCGTGTCGCGCTGCCAACCCGTCGGTCGCCGCTTACTTCTGATGAGAAGAATGCGGGCCCAGTCAGCAGCAGGCTCCGACGACGCAAGCAGGCAGGGACAGGTGCGCCCTTGGCATGGTTAGGTTGCCAGCCCCGCTCGCCCTGCCGCCCAGGCTCGCCCATGCCTGCTGCCTGCCTGGCCATGGCGGCATGTCGCTGTCCATGTCGCTGGCGGGTCCTGGCCGCCCTGCCCGCAAAGGGTTCAAAGAGAGACGCACGCGCCGTCCCATGTCCGAGTCCGAGGCGAGGCCAAAAGGCAGGCAGGGCCGAGGTCGAGCCAAAGTCAGACGTACGGGCGACAACGCTGCCGCTGCTCTCGCTTGCTTCTTCTGTCAAGGCAGCAGCAGCAGCAGCAGCAGCAGCAGCAGCAGCAGCAGCAGCAGCACGTCCAAAGATCCGCGGCCGCCGTACGTTGGCAAGACACCTGGATGCGCCGCCCTCGGTGGGCCATACGCCATCTCTGCCGCCCTGCATTCAACTTCTCGCCAGCAGGCAGGCGTGTCCGGCTTCGACTTACGCCGGCCTGGCCTGGCCTGGCCTGCTGCTGCTCCTCCTGCCTCGTTCCGGCCGGCCGTCTACCGTATCTCTGCTTGATGCACTGCAGATGCAACGCCATCTCATGCCCACGCACACGCACACAAACACGCAGCCAGCGAGAGCCCTCTCTGACCCTGACCCTGGAACTGACCCTGACCCTGACCCTGACTGACCCCGCCTGGCCTCGCTCGCACTTTGCTCTCTCCCGAGTGCGGGCACGCAGGCCCAACCGACCCGACCGACGCACCGCCCACCGACGGCCGCATCGAACACGGCAGCGGCGGGCAGCAGCGGCCAGCTTCGTCGCTTCTGACTGGGCCCTCCCTAGCCTTTGGCTGTCGGTCGCTCGCCATCCTCCCTCTGCGCACCCTCACTCTCTCTCACTCTCGCCCGACCTCGTCTCGACTGCCGACTCGTCGTCGACCTTGCTTGGCTTCTTGCTTCGACTCGACTGGCAGCTGCCTCTCCGCCCCTCCCCGCGCCTTCCCTCGCCGCCCCTTGACCCTCCACCGTACGTCCGGCGTCGTCGCTTGCTACCACCACCTCCTCGCTCCTCCAGGCCCGCCAGCTCATCTCCCTCGTCCACCCTCCGCGGCTCGTCGGCGCCTTCCTGGTCGCTACACCAGCAACGCTTCGTCGCACCGCCACATCGCTCTCCATCGCCCCACCTGCTCCTGACTGCCTCCACGGATCGGATCGCTACGTTACCCCTTCCCATCAACGCGCCACCACCGCTGCATTGCTCCATCACCTCGACTCACCCTTCCACCAGCATCGCTTCACCGCTCCCTCTGCACCGCGCACCTCTATCTCTTCGCCTCGCTCTACCGGCCCCCCTCCCTGGACTGCCCGTCACTGCCCCTTTGCCTCGCTTTACCGCCACTGGACTGCTCTTCGCTGCTTCCCCGCCTCGCATCCTCGAGGTCGTCCTCGCCCCCATCCTCTCGCGCGCTTCACCTTTGCTCGCTCGGATTGGCAGCACTTTGCTCCTCACTCAACCATCACCGCCGGATAGCTCATTCAGCATTACTCTCCCCCACCCTCTGCCGCTTCGTCTCATCGGAACCCCACACCCCGCACCTCTTTCGGACCGCATCCCGGTGTCGCTCTCGCTCCAGGCACCTTTCTCCGCCCTCTGCCACAATTGCCCTGCCCTGTCTGCGTCCTTCTCGATCCACCTGGCCTGCCCGCCTGCTCTGCGTCCTCCTGCTCTGCAGTCCGTCTCGTAACGCTCAGCGGCCCTCGACCCTGCCACCGACTCCCTTTTTGCCCCTCCCGAGCAGGGTAATCTCGACGTCCAAGACTCTTAGCGGCGCTCGGCCCAACGGTCGACCGTCTTCCTGCCCCCTCCCAAAGGCAAGCAAGGCAATCCCGCCCTCGACTACGCTCGGCGGCGCTCTGTCCAACGACCGACTGCCCTTTGCCCTTCGCAACACCAGCCACATCCCCGGCCTCGACTAGGCACGTACGCCCACCTGGCTTGCAGCCCCCTGTGCTGGGCCCATCGCCCCAGACATCTGCGATTGCGTTCAGAGGCTCATACGCGCCGGGTCCCGCCGCGGCCCAAAGGCCAAAGCCGACTCGCCCGACCACGATGCCGCCGGCGCAGCAGCCCCCTCTGCCGCGCAATGACCTCGGTAATGACGCCGACAGCGACCACGACGACGGCGACAACGGCGGTGACGACGACACCAACGCCCCTCGCGATGGACCCCAGTGCATCGGCAAGCGCACCCGCAGCAGGCTCTCGCTCGCTCTGCTGCCGTCCGTCGCCGCGGCTGCCGGCCCCGAAGCATCACATGAGCTCGCTGGGTCCACGCCGAGGCCGGACCACGCTACGCCGCTCGGGCAGCGCCCCGCCTCCGCTCATGCGGACAACCGCGGACAAGACGCCGCTCAAGACGGCGGCACCACTGGCTCCTTGGCACCGCTCCAGTCGACCCACCAGCTGCGCCCTCGGACGCACCATCATCCTCATCATCAGCATCAGGCCCACGCCGAGCAGCAGCACCAGCAGCATCGCCTCTTTCCCTCATCCTCGTCCAGCCAGCTCGCAGAAACGGCCGATGCGCCCGGAGCATCGTCAGCCTCTACCACGGCCACAGCCTCTGCTGCCGCCTCGTCGTCGTCCGCCGCCCACTCGCGCTCCTCGAGCGGCCCCGCCCGCGCCTTTCAGCGCGCCCGATCGCGCAACCGCTCCCTCGATATCACCGCCTCGACCTCTCGCCCGTCGCGCCACCTCCGCGCCTCCACTGCGAGGAACTCTGCCAATGCGCACGGCGGCAGCGCTACCGACGGCACCGCGGCCGGCCTCCGCACTTCCGTCTCCTCGTCGTCGCTGTCCCGCGCCGCCTCGAGCCTGTTCGGCGCATCTTGCTCGTCGTCGGCGTCTTCCAGTCCGGAAGACGGCATTCGTTCCGCTCTCTCGAACCTGCCTCGCCAAGCTGACCGCAGCGAGAGCCAGGAGGCACGCAGGCAGAGCCAGGGACACCCCGACGGCGAAAGCCAGGCATCCTCCCAGGGCCGCCCGTCGTCGGCCATGTCGCCGCCCCGACCCACGCGGGCGCTGCCCCGCCGCAACGCATCGGCCATGACCGCCAGCCGTCCGCTGCCGCAACCTGCGCAAAACAACCGCACCGCGACCTCGAGCGGCGACGGCATGGCGGGCCCGTCGCCATCTTTGACTTCCTCGCCCTATGCCCTTCGATCGCGCAGGTCGCTGGGCCCATCGCCAATGTCGTCGGCCAACTCCAATGCCAACATCATGGCCTCGGGCGGCGGCGGCAGCGGCGGCAATCCGTCCTCATCCGCCAACCGGTACGGTGCAGGTGCATCGTCGTCGGCGTCTTCTTCGACCGGCTGCAATCCGCTCGCATCCTCGGCCGGCTTCGGCATGGGAGGGGATCCCGGGCCTCTGTCGTCGTCATCAGGCGCCTCGACGCCCAGGACGCCGCTAGCAGAAATCCCCTTGTGGCTGGCCGACATGCGCAGCGAGAGTCGGCGCAGCAGTAGCAGCAGCAGCATGGCCCTCGACGGCGACGAAGCTGGCGGCAGTGTGAGTGATGCTTTCGTTGACGTGCGCCATCGCTCCACACAAACTGACACCCTCTCCTCTTCGCCCCCGCCCACCGTCTCGTCCCCTGACCCTTGCCGGCGTCGGCCCTCGACAGTACTTTACGCCGCGGCCGGGCTACGGCCGCTCCAGGACCGCGTCCTCGTCGAGCACCTCGAGCAACATGAGCATGGTGCCCACGCCCTCGTCGTCGTCGGGCATGGCCCCCACCCGGCGTTCGCTGCGAGACCGTCGGCCGCGGCAGAGCAACGAAAACGACCCCGACAGCCTGGGCTCGAGGCACAGCCAGGACCTCGACTGGCCCGACGTTCAACACACTCCGACCTTGGGCGAGTCGTCGCAAGCCTCGTCGAGCTCGTCACCCATGGCGCTCCGCAGCAGGTCCTCGAGCGGACCGGCACGACGGCCGTCGATCGGGCAGACACCGGGAAGATCGACGAATGGGCCCCTTTCGCTGACGGCGTCATCGTCGCACCCGACCACACCCGTGCGGCAGCGACCGTCAAGCACGCAACGTCCATTGAGCATCAGCACCGTGCAGAGCAGCTCGAGCGGCGGACTGTCGGAGCGCGCTTTCGGCAACAGCCTCGCCAATGGCGCCACCGCCCCCGCGCCGACTCCGCCGACGCTGGCCGAGAGGAGGATGCGGCCATCACGCTCGTCGGACGTGCCCATGGAGCTCGAGGCCGTTCCCGAATCGACCAGCGAGCATCCGGCCTCCGCTGCGGGGGCGATGCTGCCGGACAGCGGCGATGCCGGCGGCCCAGCGCGGATGACGCGCTCCTCGAGCCGACGAAGGCAGCTGGCTCCCTCGGCAACCGAGAATCGGCCCGCTGCCGGCAGCGCACACCCGCCCGATGCCCCCGTCACGCCCCTCCGCACTCTACAGATTGCCCCGAACCATCGTCGGCGACGCAGCCAGCCGGACGAGGCGCAGCAGGACGGCGTTGCGCAGTACGTGCTGCCTTGGTCGCCGTCGATGCCGACGCTGACGCTGCGCAGCTCGCCCCGGCTCGCCTCGGCCGGACGTGCCTCGACGGCCTCGCACGCCGCCGAATCGCTCCCGTCGTCGTCGCAGCAGTCGTTCAACGAGCCGCCCTCGCCCTCGGCCTCGTCGACCGTCACAAGCCTGACGAACGCCTCAACCGCCGGCGAGAGCAGCGCCTCTGGCTCGGCCGGCATGCCTGCCACGCCCCTGGGCGACATTGCGCCCGGTCTGCCGTCGGTCGAGGCGATCCAGTCGATGCAGCACGACGACATCGACGGGCCTCCCAGACGGGCCAGGACGCGCGCATCGGCTGCAGCCGCCGCTGCCGCCGCCGCCAGCGGCGATGTCGGCCTCGACGGTGATCAGACCGGGCTCGGCCTGGGCGGCACCGAGGACAAGCAGTACGATGGTGACGACGCCGCCGTCGGCCGTCTCAATCTCCTGCTCCGCGGTCGGCCATTTTAGCTTCGGCTCGGCAGCCAGACAGTGGCGGTGGCGGCTCTCCACCAGCCTCGGCCGAGGCTCTCGACCCCTCCTCTCCCCGAACATGACTTCCAAGCACGGCGATCCTCTCACCCTGGCCACGACCATCGACACTTTCGACCAGCCCGCTCTGCGGTCCTGCACCGCACCCTCTCAGGCCGCCCTTTGCCCGTCGTCGGGCTCGATCTGATCCACTTCGTGGGACGAGCCACCGCGCTGCCGTCTAGGCTGCTTCGACGCGCCTTCTCGTCGTTCTCAGCCCCGCGGCGTCGATGACCGTCCCACTCGCCCACGACGCCGATGGACCGGCCGTCGTTCCGCGCCCTGCTTCCACGCATCCCAGCGCCGCTCGACGTTGCGACTCGGGACGGGGCACAAAAGGGCGGACGGCCGCGCACTCGCCTGTCGGACCAACACCGCCATCTCGCCGTGCTCGACTCTTCCTCCCTGTACCGCCGTCCCTCTCTCGTATCGTCACGGCTTTCCGCCGTCCCTCTCTCGTATCGTCACGGCTTTCCGCCGTCCATCAAGCCTCGCTCTGCTCCCGCACTGCCCTCGCCCCACCCCTGTCTGCCCCCAGCGTGCATCGCCACACAGCCACCACGCTCCTCTTGTCTTCATCTATCGTCATTGTATTACTAGACTGCTGCATTCTCAGCCACACATGCACATCATCTACCCACACAGCCTATTCTTCTGCAAAGGCCAGGTGTCTGTGTTTAGAGACCCTGCTGGCACACCCCAGCTTGTGCACTTAGTTTGTTGGGCCTTGCAATGGTGCACTCTGAACCATCATCAGCTTACAGCCCTGATGCAATGCCTCAGGATGTCAGTCTAACCACGCTGCAGCCAGGGCCCACCTGTCACAGCCCTGGCCCAATCGGGGCTGAGCGGCGCGGGCCAGCGGGGCAGAGGATTTCCGGAGCCGAGGTGAATTCTCTCCGCGCGGCCGCGGAGAGGAATCATCGGCCGCCAGCAATCCTCTGCGCGCCGGGGCAGCGTCAGCACGCACCTAGCGGATCCGCAGTTGCTCCTGCTGGCAGGAGGACTCCTCGGATCCGCTCCAAGGGCCAAGGACTAGGCCTCGGCCACGTCGGTGGCGTCCCACCTCGGAGCAACGCCCTGGGATGACAATGGAGGACAATAGGACAATAGGGGCCATTCCTGATTGGTCGAGGCAGGGATGCCTCGACGCCGTAGGTAGACAGTATATAGCCTAGTCCTCATCCGCGTCGGTAGACCGGATGCCCCTCATCCAGTCTAGTCAATACCAGTCCTCACCGCTTGCTCGTCTTCCATCGACGTGAGAGCCCGAGGCTACCGTTGTCTAGCAATTGCGACGTCTATCGACAGATCACCCCGCCAGCTCACTTCCGTAGTCATCCTCGACCGTGGACGCCTGCCAACGGTGCTCACAGTCGCCCGCGGTATCAACCCGCCGTTCCCTAACCTCGCTCGCGCCTGACGGGAGCACCGAAGCGATCGCCCTCCGACGCGCAGAGACTTCTCCGCCCCTCGGACAATCTTCTGCGCACCGCTAGGTCGACCGTTACACCACCCTCGTGGCCTGGGCAGGGTTAGGGTTAGGGTTCCAAAGACCCCTGGCGCTCGCTTGACTGCCGCGTCGCTCGTCTCTGCTGGCCGGAGTGAA